AAATATTTTTAATATAATTATAATACATTTTTAACACGTTAAATTTTATACCGGCCCTATGGATATAAATTTTGTAATATGATACCGGCACACAGTGCAAATATACAGTGGCATAGTGGCCAGTCCGCCCAGTCCACCCTTAGCAGTCCAAAATGAGACAAAATACTTAGGTACAATCTTAGATAAGCGTTTCACTTAGAAATCTCACCTCCAGATGCGGATTTCCCATTAGGCATTGTAGGCAGCTGCTTAGGGCGGCAAAATTTGGGGGGCGGCAAATTTTGTAGTGTTTTATTAAAAAACATCAAACGATCAAACATATAGTACATCGTATATGATATTCAGTATACCAATCTATTTTGGTTCATTATAATTTATAGTCATTACCTATAAATATTATAGTAAACAATTATATAGAAAGCAGTTTTTGATAATACTATATATTTTATTTTATTTTGTAGGTTTTTATTCAAATTCAGTGAACAACCATTGACATTTTTTTCAAAGTAGGCTAAATAACTTCAGGCGAAAAAAATAGTCTAAAAATTAAAATGGATGTCCACTACTATTGTCTATATATTAAATATTTAGAGTAGGTATTTTGGAGGGGTATTGTAACTTTTTCACCTATTATAGGAGCGGCAAATTTTTGGTGCCTATAGCCGTAAAAAAGATAAATCCGCCTCTGCTCACCTCTAATTCAAAAGGAATCTTTCTAAAAGTCGACTCCATCTTATCCGTTCCCGTCTTAAGTCATAATTAAATCTCAAAACCAAAATTCTTTTATATGAGTCAATAATTATACCAATATGGTCATATGGCATTCAGATTTGGGGGCCGGCCAAACCCTTCAACATCCGTCCTATACAGTATTTTCAAAATATTGGTCTCCATACCTTAATTGGTGCTCCATGGTACGTGACCAACATTTCACTCCATAAAGACTTATAAATTCAAATCGTCTCTGATTTCTCCAAACTCCACTACAATCAATTCTATTGTAAACTCAACTCAAGAACTAATGTCCACATCAAAAATATAAACGTCCTCGCAGGCTAAAACGAAATTGAAATCGTGATCTTCTTTCTTAATTATCCTAAATCCAAGTGATAACTATTAGGAGGTGTCACCAATGGTTGACTTCTAAAATTATTTTAAGTTTATTATATGTATATCTAAATTATTTAATGTGCCACTTAATGTACATATTGTTCTTTTTATATTAAAAAAAAAAAAAAATTATCTTTAATCATGTTATTGATGTGCAATCAACACGTAATAATATATCATGTATACGTTATACTTGGTATTATAAAACGTATTTAATACGAATCTTTCTATTTTATTATTCGTCTGTCAATCATTCCACAAAGATGTCTGAAAAACCGATAGCGATGGTCCGTTGTCGGATTAATAAACATTTTCATGTTGATTGCTCTGAAATCGAGCTCATGGATATTGACGAGCTTCACACTCTTCGTCACATCATCGTCCGCGCACTGGATGCACAACGATACCACGAAGAATCAAATGCGAGTGACCAGTACATGTCATGGGTACGTGGTCTATACCACGTAGACATTACACTGTCCCGCCATCGACGTCTTCGTGGATCGGTCTGGTAAAAGTTTTTTATTTCTTTATTTTATTTTTATTTTCTTTTAGAAATTGTATTTCTTTTTTTTTAACGCATGTTTCTGTAATAGTCGAGTTACATAAAATAATTTTAATTTCCCCGTCTTCTGTCTTTTATAAATTTTCTTAACCTAATTAAACTTAATAATTGTTTTCATGCTTGTTAAGAGTATTGACTATTTTACAATTGTTTTCTTCTATTATAAAATGTTATAGTAAACTATTTCCTATTGTGACATAAATATAGGTACAGTAATTTTTCATGTAACTTAATTTTTATTGTTATTGGTATTGCTTAATACTACAAAATATATCTCTACAGTTGACAGATGTATTTAATTTATTAATATTGATTTGTAGTTTTACAAGGAAAATGGCATCGGAAAATGCATTGGTGGTCGTAGAATCGGCTAATGGAGTCGGTGGTAGTGATGGTCAGAAGAGGAAAAAACAAATAGAAACGATAAAAAATAGTTGGGTGAAAAAAATGATCACATTTTTCCAGGCCAAGTGAAAAGAAAAACACGTGATAAAGGTATTATTTTTTTCCGTCAATAATGCTTTTCGACCAAGGCGATATAGTTATATACGTTATTTTTATTATTAGCTATATACGTGTATCCATCATTACTATTTATATATATTTTATAGTTGTATATGTAGGTAAATCATTATTACTTTTATTCAGTGAATACAGATTTTCCATGAATCAATGCAATTATAATTATAATGTCTCCACATTTATTTTGGTCTACTTCCATACGATTATATTCGTTTGATTGAAATAATTTTCTTTCCAAATGCATGTTTTCCTTAAATAAATTTAAAAATATTGTAAATTCCTGTACAAAACATTTGATATGGGTTTGAATTTAAAATTTTACAGAAAAAAATCTTCACCGGTTAGTATTGCTCAGGACAACTTTTCAAATATAATAACTTATTAATTATTAAAGATCTCAAAGTTAATGCTACAACATACATAATAATTTTTATCAGTGATTTAATTTAAGGCGTTGAATACTTAAGTGTTTAATTACTTTACAAAATATATCTATTAGGTACTTCATCATAATTTATTTCCAAGTAGTAGTTACATAACATAACATTATAGCATATAAATCTTAGGGTGGCTTCCTGAGCCCTGACACAAATTACCAACACAATCAACATTATTATAGTTATCTATATTAATTATTATATATTTATATTTATTTGCAAAAAAAAAAAATTAACAAGTTTGTTGGAGTTGAATTTGATTTTCGGAAATACTATTTTTTTGTTTAGAATGGATATGAATTGAAATTTGATTATTCTAAATGATTATGTGTCTTAAATTGTATAGTAATTTGTGACAGTTGTGTAAAAAAAGTATCAATACAACAACTAACTTCAATTTTCTCAGATTTATCTATAATTCTAAATTTTGTAAGTATTTCAATAAAGCGTTAAAAAAATGTGACTGATATCTGTTTTAACTGTCAGCCAAAGAATATTAAATTATCAAATCCTCATTTAAATCTTGTACAACCAGTTATTCAATTAATGAATTTAATAGTTTCTAAAGAATATTATAATCATTGGCAATCTATTGATGATTCGTGTTTTATGTTCTTGAAAAAAATATTTTGAGTAACTTATTATAAAGTTTATATTTTATGATTATTTAACTATTTAAAATGAATTTTAATTTTTTTAGAAAGTATATGGGATTGTGTTTATGGTTCATATATAAAATTAAATGATCCAGATAGTTTTAATCATAAGTATATTTAAAAATGAGAAAGTTCAATTAAAGCTCCCTGATTGGAAAACAAGTGAAGATATATTTACAGAAAAAATTTGATCATAATTAACAAAACAAGAAAAATGTATAACAATTTTTTTGATATTATTGTTTGTATTTGCTAATTTTATTGATTTTTGGGTTTTTAGTTTTTTTGAAATGTTTTATTCTTGTAATTAAATTCTTGCAAGAATCATGATTCCTCATTATGAAATTTTACCGCTGCTACAATTGGGTTAACAGTAATGCTAATATATTTAGGAATATTGTGAGCAATGAATTAATTATTGATTCAAAATTCAGTACCTACGTTTTTTACTATTGATGAACTAATTTAAATGGTTGTATTCCTTTCTGACAAAATAACTCGAGTGAGTAAAATTAATCTTTTTTCTTTCATATGTATGATTAAGGACAACAATTTAGTCCCAGTATATTAATAAAAAAATTTAAATTAATATTAAAACAAATAAAAATTAATAATATTGTATGATTATTGAATATTGTTTAATTGTCTAGCATGGAGTGGTTTCTACATTATTGATATCAACACTCAACGAAAGATATGTATTTGATGTAAATTAAGCAAGTTTGAACGATGCATCAGAACTTTGTGTGTATATATTTACCAGTCAACTTTTAATGAAAGTATCACAAAACAGTGATAATAATCAACAAGATTACTGAGATTGCTGATGTTGCCAAAAACATCTTCTTTCGCACAAAAATATTTTCTCTTATTGTTTGTGTATCATGAGCATTTGTTTTTTTTTTCATTACAAATTTGATTTATAATGTATCTACTTAATATATTATGTATTATTTTTAAATAAGTTTAATGCTTCAATACATTACACCAAATTTCATAATTTGTTAAAAATCAAGGTCTTATGAGTTGGTATTGGGACCCGAAGGCTATAACCCCATTTATAAAAGGGATGCTTGAGCACCTTTTTAGATACTAGATAGTGGCTACTGATTTATGCTATGAACTAAGATAAACTATTTAGTATGTATTCTAAATTATAACTAAAGTTCCTATCAATGAAAGGCTATCATGTACTTTATTACTAAATAGGATTTATATTTTGATTTGTAATAACTATCAAAGCTAGTTGAAGAATTTACTATTTTTAGGGATATTACTTAGAAGCACATCCTAGTAAAAAATAACTAAGATTTACAATTTCTCAATGTTTGGTTAATGTTTTATGCTTAAGTTAAAAATTATTATCTTCCCAAGGAAGAGAAAAAAATTATATTTTTAAAATATTGAAATTGAAGTAATTGGAACTTAATTTTGAATTAAATCTTAAATGGCAATTGTTTACAATTTAGCATTGTACACATGATAATAAAAGTTGATTGCTTCTATAGGAGTTAAAATATATTTTATAATTTTTATATAAATACATATAAAAAATTCCTAAATCATTTACAAGAAAAGTAAATAAATATAAATTATATGAAGCATGTAGTCATCACTATAATTTAAATATAATAACAATTTTCTGAGTATAGTAGATAGGGAATTCAAAATAAAATTAAAGGATATGGCATAAAAAATACATAAAAAAAATTATCTACACTAATAAATATATTTTAATAATTAACGACAATAAACAAATCACAATAGATTAATTTGTTTACCATAATGTTAGATACGTATTTTCTTATTTGACTCATCTTCATCATCTGAATCTGAATCTGATTCTTCTTCTTCTTCTTTTTTCACAAATGGAGACAAATCAATATTTAATTTTTCTTTTGATGATGGAGTTTGGGTTAAACACCTAAAAACCATCATGAATTTATTTAAAATACAATAACCATTTTTTTGATCAGTTAATTTATTTTATATAGATTAAAATCATTACTACAAAATATTTTTTATTTTTATCCTACTATTTTAGTATTTTTATAAATTTTTTTTCAAGATTTCATTTATATAAATTGTAACATGCATTTTTACTCTTCATTCTCTGAAAGTTAGAATGCATAAAAATTTTATACTAATCTAGTAGTAAATTAATGATATGTATTAAAAGTTAGTTGATAGGAACCCATAAAATGGTGGTAGAGACCCATAAAATATAAGTACTTTAATGCATATTAGTATTTTATAATCTTTGAAAAAATTAGATTTAATTAAATAAACATAATTAAATAAATTAGCTGATTTTTTTTTAACAATTAACTATACATATGGAGAATACATATTAAAACATTTTATATTTAATAAATGTATAAATAATTTAAAAAAAAAAATACCGTATAATAAATGGAGATGGCTTAGATTTTTTTGGAGCTTTTGTCATAATATCTTTGAATAGAGTTTCAAAATTTTCTACAAGATGTGTTGGATCATCTGATAGCTAAAAAATAATTTTTTACATTTAATACACAATTTTTAATATAGAATAAATAAAATGGTCTTACTTGACCAATTTTCATTTCAACTATTCCCAAAGTTTCGTCATATGGATCTACTTGCATATTGTATTTTATCCCTTTTATGTAATGTTTTATCATTCCTACTAAGTCTAATGTTAACAAACCTGAATAAAAATGTCTTTATTATTATACTAAATAAGCTTTTTAAATTTTTTTAATAATTTTTTACTAACCATTTTGAAGAGTTGGATAACGTTTTCTTAATAAACCTCGAATGGCAGGTAATTCTGTTAGAATGTCAGGATGAGCAAGTACATATTGAAAATCAGGTAAAACTGTAAGACCTCTCTAAAAAATATTTTTGTAAGTCTTTAAGAATTAACTTTAATACATTTTATTAATTTGACATATAATAATATTCATTGCATAACAAGTAAATAATGTGGTATAAGTAAAATAAATAAAGCATAATACCTCTATGCTTTTGATGACATCTTTACCACCAACTAACATAGCACCTGCATTTCTAGCTTCTTCCATCATTTTTGTACTTTCACAAAATGCTAATATTGTTCTATCCTCACCATGGTCATATGGATAAGGTAATTCAATAATTTTATGATATTTATCAACAAATTTGTTTTTTTTGTCTGTAGTTAGATCCATTTCTAGACGAACATTTAGAGGCGCATCAGGTACATTTATCATTGAAGGATGGTGAAGCTCTTTATGAGCTAATATGGCATCCAAAAATGTATATCTGCATCATTAAGAAAGAAAAGTAATGTTAATAATATGAAAGACAATATCTATAATAAATTGATAAAAAAAAAAATCTATATCTGTAATGACATTTTAATTTTAATTTTAGTTTTTATAATTTAAAATACTTAGATACTGAACATCAGGAAAAACTTATAAAACTCTTTAAAAAGGCGAAAAAACTCTAGAAAAAACCCTATTTGGACAAGACATCATACATTTTTTCTTATATTTTTTTGTAAAGCTATTTTAGTATGTTAACTGATGACTAAATTGTAGAAAATTTTTAAAATATATAGTATATTCTAAAATTATTGATATTGGTAATATTATATTACTAAATATATATATATATATATATATAGGGCAGAGGACTTACTATATTTGAAAAGTATTTTAGTATAAATGTTTTTATTTTGTACTCAGCTATTTTCGTAATTGAGCAAAATAAATATGCGAATTCTACAAGTCCTCTGCCCTAGCGATATTTAATAATAATATCTTGGTTAACAAATTTAATTTATAGTACAGTCAAGTAGAACGTCGATTAACTGTTCTCATTATTCAGAAAATTTGTATGTAACAAAAATAAAGGCACAAAAGCAATAAATTATAAGTTAAAGAATATAAACAATATTATTTTAATGAGCACTATATAGACTATATTATAAATGAAATTATGGAAAAAAAATTTTTGGTAGAAATTTTGACTTCCACAATGACATGAGTTACAACATAGGTCAAATAAAATGTAATAATAAATAAAAATGTAATTAAAATATATTAAATAGTTTTGATTAACAGTGGTTTCCATTTTCTCAAGTAACTCATAAAACCCATGTAATTTTAATTCAAATATTACATTAAAAAATTATGACTTACTTTCGCATTTGGTAAAAAAGTCCAATATATACGTCATCACTTGGCGCACGCCAAGGAAATGTTTCAATTGTACGACTTGATTTATCTAATTGCCTAAATACAAAATTTTGAAATATAAGTATAACTATTAATATTATTAAATAATGATTATTAGCCCACTTAACAGGGCCGGATTAAAGGGGGGGGGCAGAGGGGACATCTGCACCCGGGCGCAAGATTTTAAAGGTGCAAAGTTTTGAAATATTGTAGATACCATTTAGAGTGAAAAAACTATTAGCGATTACGACAGTGTACACGGCGCGCAAATTCACATACGTGTTTCCACGAATTTACCGATATCTGAAATACAGTCACAGTGTCCACGCAATAATAATAATAATTATTAAACGACTATATAATATAGATAACATTTCCACCAAACAACTGCGACCGATTATTCAAACGTATAAAAATATATTATAAATTATATTTTTATTTTTATTTACTTACATAGTTAATCCCAGTATTTTATATATCATTTTTATAAATTAATTAAAATTAAATTAAATCATGATTACAAAATTGTTATTTTTATAAATGTATTTACATTGTTTATTGTTTAGGTATATAGTAATATTAAAAAGATTGTTATCATATAATTTTAATATATTTCTAATATTATTTAATAAATGCCAAATTATAGTAAAACAATGTTATGTTTATGTATTATTAAAAAGTAGTTCTTAATTTTAGGTAGGTTTGCCCTGGGGCGCAAAATATCTTAATCCGGCCCTGCCACTTAATATTGTAACAAATAATACTCATCTAGAAACTTACTTTTTTTTAAGAATAGGTATATATTTTCGTGCTTTAGCTAAATTGGCAGCTCTATTTTTTTTATTTATTTTTTCTTTTCGGTCTCTAGTACATTTACGTGCCCGATAACGGACAGGCATAATAGATGTAACAGTTGGTAGTGATCGAAACAAGCTATTAAGATCTGTAGACAAATCCCATTAAAAATTAAAATAGAAAGCAATATTATTCTAGATACTTACTAAACATTTTAGTGGTTAATTTTCCTAGAAATTAGTTTTTAAAAATTAATTAATTAATATAGTATAATGGCTTGAATGTGTTATTATTTTTCAGAATAAATCAATCATAATTATAATAAATTGATATTTTTAAGTAACACTTTGTTATTTGATTACTAAATTTTGAGAGTTTTTCAATAATATGAGAAATTGAAATAATAAGAAAAATTACTGTAAACACGTATCAAAGATTTATCTATTATTTAATATTTTAGTATTAAATGAAATTACAATATAATCTCATTTACAAAATATGTAACAGATACTTAGTTCATTTTTTCTAAGACTGTGGTTCATTTATAAAAAATTGTACAGGTTTATGGTAACATTTTTGGTTTAATCTATTCTGTGGTAACATATCACATCGAATTAAAGCAATTGTAACTGGTCACACTGATTCTGCACCCTTCTTGTATCATGTTTTGTGTTTTCGTTTATTTAGCTCCTAAAGAGCTGTCTAGTGTCCGACTTTTACTTGTATTGTATTTTTTAAACTCAGTGTTGTGAATGATTTTTTTTTAAATTAGTCATCACCAAACCCGTTTTCCTCAAATTACTTTCTACGTTTTAAGTATAGAACATTTGTCGGATATTTACAAAAACCATTGCTTTTGGGCAATACAAGTTTCAGGTAAAACAATCAAATTAAATTGTATAAACCTAACAAAGGCATATTTATTAACAAGTGGCCATTGATGATGGAATGTTGTATAAATTAATTTGGTTTTAGAAAAAAAGAATTGATATGAATAAATTATTTAAAAATGTATATTTATTGAATTTGATAAAAATTTAAATATGTTTAATTACTCTAAATTTTTAAAAATTGTTTTTATTTTTTTTACCAATTAAAAATAACCATTCTGCATTTTTCAATTTAGCTTGTTATGAAGTTTTACATTATTTTATAATATTTGTATATTTCTTTTTGATCAATAATACATTTTTTCATAATAATTTATAGATTATCCAGTTTGATTTCAATGAATGAATCAACAGAAGAATGTTCTCCATTTAAAGATAGAAAAAAAAAGTAAATACGTTAATTATGAAGTATTTTTATATTGCTATTAGTTATATGTTTTATACTTTCATTTTTTTAAATTTTGTTTAGAACTCATATGTCGCTTAATGATAAAAAACGACTTGCCCGTGAAAAGGCTGAGCAGTATAATAGTAATGGCAGACCTTTACGTCAGTATCACATGCTCACTGCTGAAGAGGTTAAACAGGGAAAGGAAACTCATTGGGAAGAATTGGAAATTATTGGTATTTTATTATTATATTTTTATAAATACATTTTAATAATTCTGTTCTAAATTCTTAGGCAATGTTAAAAGTCTAAGTTCAACCTTATGGCATATGACAACTTTAACGGGACTCTATCTAAATGACAATCAATTAACCCGGTTACCCCCAGATATATCAAATCTTGTTAGTTTACAATATCTTGATTTGTCTGGAAATAAACTGCGAAGTTTACCTGCTGAACTTGGTGAATTAATTTATCTCAGGTAAATTATATTTTATAAAATTTGTTAAATCTTATTTAATTATATTAATTGTATATTACAGAGAATTGCATTTGGGATATAATTTGTTGAGATCATTACCGCATGAGTTAGGACGTTTATTCCAACTGCAAGTATTAGGGTTAGCTGGTAATCCTTTATGTCAAGAAGTAATGAAGTTACATAGTGAACCAAATGGCACTCATAGACTGCTTATGTATCTTTTAGATAGCTTACAAGGTAAGATTTTAATTTGGTTATATTCTAAATTGCGCTAGTTTAAAATTTGTCTATCAATTTGTAAAGAAGATATTATTAATTCTATGTAATATTATGAACAATATCCATGTTAATGTAATACATACACTTTCAATTAGTAAATTCCTTCTATTATCTTCTGCTTTATATAATTAAAATATAATATGAACTAAAATTGACATCTTAAATTATGTATTTTTATTGGCTTTTAAGACAAGTTTTTGATTTGACCAAAGTATTATGAATTTCTCCAAGGACTATGTAGACATGAATACATCCTTGGTTAGTCTTGGTGTATCAATAGATTTATAAATCCATCCAAAATCATAGCTATAATCTACATTTTGTTATAATTTGATATATTATTATATAATTTTCACTAAATTGAATTTTGTAATAAAATCATTTTACACATGTATATTGTAGTATTAAGTCCATAACTTCAAATTTATTATATCAAACATTTAAAAATTTATTTTACCTTTTAAAAAGTAATTAAAAGGGCTTTTTTTTTAAATTTTGAACCTTTGTAAAACCAAATAGTTTACTTGGTCAAGTATCAACTATCGTCATTTAAGTTAATAATCCACGCATTGGTTTGTAGTCCTTTTCTTTTCCAGTTACTGTTTTGTAATTTCAATTTTTTATGTCTGAATAAATCTTAATATGTCTTCTGTTTTATAAATATTTTTTTCAAGTTCTTTCCTTTGATATTACCTTTTTTTCTAATTTTCACATCTATCATGATGGCAAAATAACCTATCTATTTAATCTTTATTAAATCTTTTCATAGTTAACTTTATTCGGATAATGTCTCAATTTTTCAATATTGGTAATTTAGTTTAGTTGATCTTTAACAATTCTTTAGATTCATATTTCGTTCAATTTTATTATTTTATATCTATTTATTTCTGTCCAAATGTTGCCACTATATTACCATATTCCTTTTTTCTACCAACATGGTTTTTTATTCAGATTTCTGAACATTTAAACTAACCTTGGAATTGAATAATGTTTAATATTATCATTTATTTTTATTTTACTATTTCTCCCATTTTTGCTTTATTGCTTACAAAGTTATGTTGATTTTTTTCTATCTTGAATATTGCAGATGTTCATATTATTAATATTATTTTTATATTTGCATACCAGTATTTATGTTTTTTTATTTACCGTCTTGTTTAGTTTTTTTTTTATATTATGTTTTATTTATAGTTGAAGTTATTTTTCTAAAATGATTGTAGTTTATGTTTTGCTGACTGTCAGTTACAGTACATAGTCATTTTAACATATAATATATTCATTACACTAGTTGATCTAGTAATGTGACAAGAATTTTTCAAAAATATTTGAATTTTCTGGGAAGTTAACTTTAGAATTTAAATTAATATAATTAATAAATTTACATAATTGTCATTTATTAATATTGTATATAGCCAAATTCATTTTTTTTTAAAAATTTTAGGGATAAAAAATTAAAATGTATTAAGTAAATCAAAGTTTTTATCCTCAACAATAATTGATTTAATTATTGCAAAATTAACTTTTCCCTGACTGGTTATATTTGTACTTAGACTTATTTATTATTTAATTTTTTAAGAGAGTTTTGTAGTAAAGTTATTTGTGATTGTTGGATTATTATTTATTGTATTATTTCAATAGAATGTTATAGAAGAAAGTGCATTATTGCCTTTCTTTTCTTTTATTTTTTTTACTATAACTAATTTATCTTAGTATAAATTATTAGTTTTTTATCTATGTAGTTACATCGTTTCCCCTAGTATTCTTATTTTTTTTTTTTTTTTTGTCCAGATTATTTTATAAAATTCTTTTCTGAATCAATTGTTCTTGAAACTACTAACATTAATTTTACTCCCATATTCTTCTAAAATGTTGATTTCTTTCTCAATGGTACTTGTTTTATCTTTCATTTCATTAGAATTTAAATTTGTGTTTATATTTTTAAAGCATTTAAATTTTTAGAATCAATATTAAAAAATCATCTGTAAATACATAGTTATTTTATACAATATATGTATAAGTAGCTTTTAAAAACTCATATTATTTTAAATCTTATGTATAGTAATACTTATTAAGTGTCATATTTATATTTTATTTTATTAATTTCATAAGCATTCATTTTTTGAAAATGTTTTCTCTTAAAAAATCTCTGTTCCAGGTTAAGTTTTAGTTTTCTAAAATTTCTATTCTGGTGATTTTTAATTTTGGTTAGTAAATAAATTATTTCTTTTGTAGTTAATGGTAGTATTTTTTTTTTGTGTCTTCAGTAGCTGTTTTCACTTTTAGAATATTTTCTTAAATATGGTTTGATGTTTAAGTTAGAGCATTTGTCGAGAATTGATTATTTAAATATATTACTTAATTATAAAAGTAAGAAATAATGTAAAGGTTTTATTTGTTTGCGAAATCCTTAAAACAGAATTTTATTTTTCATATCAGTCAAACTAAATAAATAATAAAATAAAGTAATGAAATAATAAATAAAGTTAGTAAATAAATTATTTATATTAATTTTGAAGTTATTTAATGCCATTGTTTGAGATGATTTCAAATTAGATTTACATATACTATCTAGATCAGATTTAAATCTAATCAATATTCCAATTTAGTATTAAAATATACTAATGTTAAATAACAACGTTTTGGGGCGGCTGTCATGAAGGTAGCGTGGCCGAGTGGTCTAAGGCGCTGGTTTTAGGCACCAGTCCGAAAGGGCGTGGGTTCGAATCCCACCGCTGCCATCAAAATTTTTGCAATTTCTATTAAAACGTCTCATTTATTTAGATATGATATTTATTTATTCTAAAATTTTTTTATTAAATTAGTATTATTTTTCGAAACTTAATATTTTATGAATGAAGTAAATCTTGTGTTTCATCTAATTGATTTTAATTCATTTATGTACTTGTATATTAATTATTTTTGCCACATTTACAACTATTAGGGATATCACCATGATCGTGTCGTACTTTTTGTATTATTTGTTTATAGTATTGTACATAATACTTAGGCGTTTGATTTTTTTCTTATATATGCACCCTAATAAACAGTTTAACTTCTTTTCTTTTTTCTTTTTTTTTTTTTTTAAGAGTTTATTTCCTTTTTATGGAATTTTATTTTATATGTGGTTAATGAACCGGCAACCAAATCAATCCGTGACTTATCAAAAAATAAGTGATTCGGTAAACCACTTTAAGGTTTATATGCGGATATTGATGTAAATGTTGGTGACATAGAAAATAGTCCGAATAATATCGAATAATTATTAAATGGTTCTATCTGTTTTTTTCGGATGTTACTTATATGGATAAAATTGATAATATTTTCAAATAATATTTCTGTTATTTATTTACATTTAAGTATCTATATTCATATTTTTTTTTACTAAATATATTATTTGCGTACAATATATAATAGACCCATCAAAGCATAATAATAGTGGAAACTTGATAAATCCAGTTGCTTTTAAACTATTATTTATATTGATATTCTTATATTAAATATTTATGTGGCACAAACATAAATATTAAACAGGATTTGTATACAGTATTATTTTTTAAAAGTATCATGTATAGCTTAATTATGTTTTTAAAAAATTAGTTTCAATTTGAATATTTATACTGGAACATATTTATTACAGAAATATTAGATGTCGTATTTATTGAATAAAATGTTGATAAAATTATTTTGCCAATCACTCTAAAATCGTAAAATAAACTAGATTTTAAAATGTATATTTTCTATTCATAGAATTTTTTCATAAAGAAATATGATTTTTGTATGAAAATCTATTTAAGTTTTAATAATCACCTTAATAGATTAATAACTTTCAGTTAATTTCTATTTTGTTTAATGGAACAGCTTTCCAATTATTCCAGTATTTTAATTTATTCGTTAAAAGTACCAAGCATAATTTAACCTAACTTACAATATTCCTTTTACCCAATGTTTTATCTGATAATTGATCTATAGAACGCTAGAACATTTCTTAAAACTAAGACGTGGAAGTGTTTAAAATGAATATACTATTTTAAAAAAATAGTCTACATTATCTTCAGGTAACGAAATTAGATGACTACATATTTAAAAATTAAAAAATAATAATGATATCGGATTACGAGTAGAGAGAGTAACAAAGCAACTAACACTCGGATCACCGCGTTGTTATTGACGTGTTTAGTGCGTTTAACTAGGTTTCTAAATTTACTTTTCTAAACGGACGTCACTTAAACAATCTTGGTGAACGTAGAGTCGTAAAACCAAAATACGTGTTCCTACACGTATCTGAAATCATATCGAATATAATCAAATATAAAAGCTATCGGATACATTTGTACGTGATGTGCCGTACGGATAGTAAAAGTTTAACACTAACACTCTCTCTTGTCCGGTTTCTGTTTATTATTATTTTTTTTCCTGTTTTTATTATCACAGCAACACAGTGACCGCGCGCGTGTGTCTATCGGAATATTACGGTAAACAACGTTCGCGTATTCGTCAGGCTTTCTTGATATAAATAAAAACCTATAATGATTTCTCGCTCGATGCGTATTGCGGGCGCCGCCGGTGCAGTCCGCGGTGGTGGCAGCAGTAGCGGGAGGGGAAAACAGGTGTTTCGTCTGGCCGTGCCGCCGCCGCCGCCGCCGCCGCAACAGCAGACTGTGCCGTCGCAGTCGCTCGCGAGTGTCAGTCCCCGTCCAGATACTCGCCGGCGCCGTCGGTGTAGTTATCCGTTTGCGCACCGTTACCGTGTGTCCCGAGGATATCGTCCGTGGTGTGCTTGTCGGTGCCGTCGTGGTCCGTCGCGGTGGTGTCGCGTGAGTGCCGTGTGTTTCCGTGCGTTGTTGTTCCGTCCGCGGTGGTCGACGGTGCGCCCCTCGAACGCTATAATATTCCCTGAAGTTACATTATTACTGTAGCGGTATAAACGGTCGACCGTTCGCGCGTGGTGTACGTAAACA